GTTGAAAAACAATCAAAACAAGTCAAAAATCAGCTGCTAAAGCTTTCAGCCTCGCGGTCATTGCCGATATCGGCTAACCGGCTCAACACGTTATACGTGTGAGTGCTGAAAGCTATGGTACGTATACCATGAAAAGCTGAGTTGGGATGAAATGGTGCCCCGGTAGCGTAACTGGTAGCGCACTTGCCCGGAAAGCGAGAGGTGCGGGTTCTAGTCCCGCCTGGGGCGAAAGTTTTGTTCACAACCCAGCATTCTTGTGAAACAAGGCGAACTGCGGCCAAAAACAGCAGTTAACAAACAAAAACAAGTATATTCATTGGATTTCCGACAATTTCTCTGCTTTCGCCTACTGCTCTCCATACTGTAATTTTCGACACACACTAGTGTTCATACAGGCCAATTTAGACTCAAGGGGAGCTACTGTTTACAACCGCGGTCAAAATTCTTCCCTATGCAGTAATAGTAAACGCGAATACAATGTCTAGAACTTGTGGACCATCTAGAGACATTGGAGCACATAAAATGTCTGTAGAATTAGCGAAGAATTTTTCGATCTCGTTGGCAATAACACTTTTACTGAGCCCAGCAGCTCGAAATCCATAAATGTTGCCGATTCCTGGAGAGATTACCCCAAAGCATTTCAACAGTCCGAAAATTTGTATTGACATACATACATATATTCACTTGCTCCTTCTTTTGATCCTCATGACAAACTGTTCATTTTCTAAGGGCGAGCTTATAAATGCAAAAGAATCAAGAAAATCTATCATAAAAAGTTCTCGAAAGTAATGCTGCTGCCAAAATTTGCATACGGAAGTTGCTCATGCTGAGAAATATGTAATGCGAGAGAAATTCTTGAGCCGCTGGTTTTTGGGAGTGAAGTGCAAAATTCAAGGGGAAGCTTATCACTGTACTCGCTGAAATATAGCGTGGCGAACATTTCGCCACACCCTGATGTATGACCCCGGTTACCAGTGTGCCTGTAAGAAATTCAAAAAAGGGTGAAAATCAAATCGGAAATGACGTTCATTCGAGGGAACAATGATCATAATGCATTATTTCAGAGAATTTCTCTATATCGAGTGTTGCTGAATCTAATAATTATTCTAAATGTTCTCTGAGCTCGAGGGACTTTGTTGGACGAATAAGAGTATCTCGCCTAAAAATGAAACGCAAAGATCTGGAGAAGAAGTACAATTATTTGAAGCCAGGAGGCCATAACGTGCCGAAAGGTTGTAAAGCACTGAATCGGGTACGTTTTTGCAAGTAATAAGGATAAAGGATAAAGCTTTCGGCATTGATCAATTTCGTGTAGGGGCGCGGCCACGCATTCTACTTACTTGTAACAATGGTAGCGGCGATTTGAATGCGATTTGGCCTATACCATGACTTGCGGGGACCAGCCTGATTTATAACTGTGTGATTTTTAGTCTCCCAACAGGCCTGGTACCAATTAACACGTTGACGACATTGTGCAGCGCATGCGCATCACACCTTGAGCACCGTGTGGGACCGTGTGCAGCGCATGCGCTGCACACACAAAATATTTATTTTTTCGCGCATGCGCTACTTCTTTTCTAATTTTTTGCATCTATTCCATAGACTACACCATAATATGACTAGACACGGCGAGGTTCATGAATGGTTGAATATGCTCCTTTTTAGCGAAGGTTTTCTAAGCCCTACGAATTTCCCAATTGTGTTCATTCCTAGTTTCCTTTATATTCTGATAATCTTGGTCATAAAAAAGAGCAGTAGAAGTAAGTACAGACCCACACATATAGCAAGACATATGTTTTTAGTGGAGCAACCGCGTCAAAAATAATTTTGAGGTTCACTACAGCAAAAGCAACTGAAACTTGCCTTTCATCGCCAGAAAACGTCAATTCGATCGATTTTTTACAGTTGTCCCTTCTGATAAGTTTGACACATCGAATATCATTCGAAACATTTTGTTGCATCCGAGTTTTGGTATTTAAAGCTCAAAATTCACGGATTTGATGTGAGGCGGCGGCGCCTGCAAAATCGCCGTGGTCCCACGCGGCGCAAAAACCCAAAACGCGCGTTGTCGTCAACGTGTTAAATAGCGCTGAAAGATGTTAGAATTGAGGTGTTGTTCAGACGATCCCCGAAACGAGAGTGCGGTTAATATGTCCCGCCTGGGGCCACAACCCAACATTCTTGTTGAACGGTGCAAACAATATTTTTTCTTCATTGTTTTTGTTATAACTCTATTCATAGTTCAGGAAAGAGTAAATACCAACTGCATGCATCGGAGTTTTATCCCGAGAGGCGGTTTGATTACACAATGTGCGTAGAGCCCTACTAATGCAAGGTGAAGGTGTGCAGAAAAAATATGATTAACATTCGCTCTCTAATGCGCCACGTAGTCGACTGCAACTAAAACAATGTGGCCTTCATCAAATGTAAATATTTGCCAGATGCCGGTGTTTCTTGTTCACCTCGTCGCGCTCATTGATTACGCTCAACACTACCATATCTGTGTTATTGGTTGTGGAAATTTCTTGCGGTCTTCAAAAGTTTTGATTTTTTGCCTGCTCAGTGCCTTTCGATCAGTTAGATCGTTGCTGGTGTACAGAGCCGTGGCAAACTGTGCGTGAACTTACATGAGTCTCAGATGTTTTCTTAGGGATCATCGCCGATCTCCCAAGTCGTTTGGGGAAAGTGCACAACCTGGCACAGTGGGTACCCTGCGTGTTGACCGCACCGTTTTCGGTAACGTGCCGAGTGCTAGGAATGACTCTTCTAGATGGCTTGCTGAAGTCCATCGCCACAGAGGATGATAAGGGGTTTCCCTAGATCAAAACTAAGCCCTGCCGAGACTGAGTGACCAGGTGACAAGGTCTGTTCCGCATAGAAGCGCAGGTGTTACCTCTGAATCTATGACTTTTTCCGCTGAGACAACTAAGGATTTATCCATTACGAGCTGCTGCCGCGCTGCGCTATTTTGCGGTGGACTTGTGCTGAGAGAAGCTGTACAGAATGACTGCCAAGATTGCAGAGAGACGTCGTAATTACGGCGCGATTCGATTTCTGCACAGCAGCGCTCGTCCATTCGTTTCCACAGTGACCCACCAAGAGCAACACTTTGAGTAAGATTCTTGGAGGCGCTGCTCTACCCACCGTGCAGCCAGAGTACTGGTCCAACGGTGTTCCACATTTTACTTCCGCTATCGAAAGTGGTGTAATGGCAAGTGGCACGCTCACCACGCGAGCGTCTGCGATCAAAATCCTGACGGTCGCCCGGCCAACCAACCCTCCATCCTTCTCGCGCTTAATTGGTACCAGACTTGTCTGGGATTATAAAAAACACTGACTTGGACATCGGCTGGCCCCCGAAAGTCATTGTATAGGCCACATCGCATTCAAACGCCACTACGAATGTACAAATTGAAGTATTATAGATTGCGTGCCGCATCCCAAAACGGCAAATGCTTCATCCTTTATCCTTTATCCTTGTCGGAGGCAACCCAAGTTTGGCCCAAAAATTGCGAAGCGTGATAGAAAATTACTGTGAAATTACTTTGTTTCCTCATGTGTTTTCTTTTCTTCGTAAAGTCAATGAAACGGTAACTGTCGAAAACCGCAAAGGCTTTCCCTAAAACCGAGTAATAGTCGAGTTCAATACCAGCTTCATAGTAAAGGTAAAGGTACACGTTGATTTTGCCAAACTTCCCCGTTTTGAAAGGTGTTTCGTGGAAGTCTGAGAAGGCATAGACGAAATCGCTTCTAAAAGTGGATATGTGCACGCGTTTCAAAGATCTCTGCAAGCTGAGTTCAATGGTAATTTTCTTCTCAAGAAAACTTATTTCTCTATAGAGTAGAAACTGGAAAACGAGAAAGTGCGAATTCGCGTAGTTTGTGGAAATAGCTATAGGGCAAGTACCCACATATTGACAGTTGTGCCCTAACCTCGTTCGGTTCACTTTTCCGTATTAGATCCTTATCGTTATCATTCCCGCCCACACTTTCGCAGTTTCCCCGTTTTCCAGTCCACCCCCTCCCTCCACTGTCTGAGAAAGTCGCCATATTTATAGCAATCAAATTATTTATTGGAGCATATGACAGTTCTCATCACCTTCCAATGTAGCAGTACACTTATTCAACAGTGAAAGTGAATGAGTGAGTGTCCACCCAATGCTCGTTCCAGCTTTGTATACTGGCTCTCTTACAGGTGGCAGTCATCGTTCCTTTTCGCGACAGAGAATCTCATCTCCGAATCCTTCTGAACAATATGCATAGGTTTCTTACAAAACAAAAATTGGATTATGCTATTATAGTGGTTGAACAAGTGGCCAATCAGACATTCAACAGAGCAAAGGTGAGGTGACAAGGGTAATCTCAGCAAACTTGTGAAACTATAGTGACAAAGGCAAAAAAGAGGACTAATGATCGAGATTCAAGTGAAGTTGATTCTTTTGACATCACGCTTCATAGAAGTATTGGTGTTGTTCCAGGTGATTGCCGGGCTGAGATGCTACGCTCCTCCTGTCTTTGTACACCTGATTTTCCAATGCTTAAAGTGGCGTGTATACAAATTATAAGTAACCAGTTGGCGCCGCACGCGTTGCGCGCACAGCACAGTTCTGCGGCGATGATGCGGTGATGGTGCGGCGTGAATTTTCGAATTTGGCCCTTCGAATATTTGACTTTCAAGCTGAATTCTATCCGATTGCCCCATGCTTCATCCACCGATGGCTTTTGACCTTCCCTCCTTCTCCACCATTGTCCGTTTTTCCCAGCCTCGGACTGCCTCCGGACCGATTTATGAACCTCGTGGTAAACTCCGCCTATTTCTTTGCATGTCCCACCTATCTTTTTCTTCCTCGCCAACCTCTTCCCACTTTTTACCCGATCTCTGAACTATCTCTGAGCCGATTTATAATTTTGGCGGCGAATCCTGCTTTTTTGGTGTATCCTCCGCACACCATTAGAAATTCACTTCCTTTCCTTCGCCCACTTCTCTCCCGGTCACAAAGTTTTGTGGAGAACTCCGCCCACTTTGGAAATGCCCCGCCCACCAACAGCAGTTGGGCTCCACTCCTCCACCCACCTCTATCCACCTTTTTCCGGCTCACTAAGACTTCTCCGGCCCGAATTATGAGGACTTGTAGAAAACGCTGTACACTTCAGAGCGCGCTCCGCCCATTGTGGGCGGCCTCCGCCCACGTCATGTATGCTGGGAACACCTTAGACATTGCTCCCCTACACCAATTTGTTTTCTGCTCTGTAGGCTTTCTCCCAACCGAGTTATGAAATTTTTCATAAAGCACTGCTTTTTTGGAGAACGCCCCGCCCACCGGGGTGGGTCTCCCTAATTCGATGTGACTTACCAATGCACACCTTTACCCACTTTTTGGCCCAGTTTCGAGGTCGTTTTGTCAGATCTTGAAAATCTCGGTCGTCAGTACACTTCATTCGATGCACGCCACGCCCACTGTGGGCGGAGCTCCGCTCAGCTGATGTGTGTTTTGTACCTCACGAGACCTGGCCCACCCATCCCACACTTGGCCTTTGATCCTGTAGGTTGCTGTGTTCGCTTAGTACCGAATTTCGTGACAGACGGACAGGCAGACAGACAGACAGACAGACTTAGCGCATTATATATAGTTCAGGGATTATAAGAGGGAGGGCGGAAGTGGTGCAGTGACAAGTGGCGCGCTCACCACGCGAGCGGTCCGGGATCAAATCCTGGGTCGTGAGTCGCCCGGGCCAACCAAGCCTTCCATCCCTCCGGGGTCGGTTAATTGGTACCAGACTTGTCTGGGAGGATAAAAAACACTGACTTGAACATCGGCTGGCCCCCGCAAGTCATTGTATAGGCCACATCGCATTCAAATGCCACTGCGAATGTACAAATGGAAGTAGAATGCGTGCCGCATCCCAAAACGGGATTGATCAACGGCAAATGCTTTATCCTTTTATTTACTCCTCTAATTCAGCTCAGGGAGGGCAGGCGTTACTGGCCCACGAACGACGTCATCTAAAGCATCTGCATTTGAAATTACTGGCACAACCCAGCGCCAGAGCCTCGTAGTGCGAACTCTTCTCTTCGGTCTGTAGTATAGACCCCCAAAGAATAATCACAGATGTGGCGTTTCCGTGCTTGGCAACCAACCGACAAGAGCGCTTAGGCCTTGCAAAGTAGGCTGCCCAAGCTGCAGACTTTTTTTCGCGTTAACGTATTTATTCATTTTTTGTAGTGCACTCAAGATCTAGTAAGAATACCTGAATCGAACGAAAAGGTGGGACTACCGAAACAATCTTCGCTTTCTGACCTACAACAACAATGGAGCTGCCAGAAGCTATACTTGACAAATAGCAAGGGAGTGACATAGACGTCTGTAGTTTAGTATCCTGAACAGGCGTTGTCTGGCGACTCTCTTCATACTGGTGGCGCGTCGTCTCGCAAAACACTCCTCTCGCGCTTAGTCCTCGCCGTCCGTTACATCCTCCGATCAGAAGGTGATAAGCCCTACAAGCTAAGCTTTTTGCCGGTTCTTTTCTTTTTTTATTGCCGGACTCACTATCACACCAATTACATTCGCATCTCGTGTACAGAGCGCACAAGCTGAAAGGTCCCCTAATTGGACTAGGGTATTTTCGAAAAGGCCTGGTAACCATCGCACACTTACTGCAACTTCTCGAAACCCTGAATGTCTAAACTTTAGTGTCCGATGCCCCGCGGCACACCTAGAGCTGCTACGGGAAATGCGTAATCGGACTAGCACAATCGAGTTCTTATCCATGTGAGGCGAACAGTTTTTTTGGTAGTTGCCCAATGTTGGTTTTATGGAAGCAAAAAAATTGTATGAATGGGAATGTTATGTGTTCCATGATGTGGATCTACTACCGGAGGATGATCGGAATTTGCACACCTGTCCTTCAAACAATCCACGACACTTGGCGGTGGCTATGAACAAATTTGGTTACAAGTAGGGTATAGATTTTTGTTAGGCCTAATCTGCATCAAAAATTAGTCTTCTCGAAGTGTTTCGGGATAATTTAAAAAAAACTCTAGCAATATTTATAGACTCTTCTACGAAGGTATGTTTGGGACGAGTGCTGCCTTCACTGTCGAGCAATTTGAAAAGACTAATGGATTCTCAAATCGATACTGGGGATGGGGTGGTGAAGACGACGACATGTATACCAGGCAAGCATCGACAAATCCGAATCGTACTTCAGCTTCACTTAGCACTTCGTTTCAGAGTGCACTTGGCTGGGTATAAAGTTGATCGCTATAATGAAACCATCGCACGGTACACAATGATCAAGCATGGAGGAGAGCAAGGCAATCCTAAAAACCCGTTAGTTTTCTTTGTACTACAAAATGATGGAACTCAAATACAACATACAAAATCAAGTTGAAGTCAAGATAGGTTCGTCAAGCGAAGAAGCTACGAGAGAGGAATTTCCGTTGTATCCTACAAGATTAGTGGATTAGCGAGAGGAATAGATGATAAAGCACAATGGGCTAGAATGTCGCTACTTCACCACACATGCATGCAGGAACAAAACGAAACGTTCAGTAGTAAAAGTCGTTGTTTAAGTCCACGATTCTCGAGGAGGCCAGTACTACTGTGAAGTCGGGTGTCAAAGTTGGCGAATAATTGCCAGCGATTTGCGCCAAGAGCCTCTCAGGTGTTCCGGGCTCCTGAGAAGCCGGTGAGTGCCTTAGCAAGCACTTCGGGTCCGATGTCACGAAAAGGCCCGTGCGTGTTCTCAAAAAACTGAAAGTCTATTAGAAAATGAGTGTACCACAAGAACCAGTCGGTGTACGATGTCTCATAGAAACGTATAAATTCAAGGGATGCCCAAGGAATTTTCCCGAATTCTAGGGAACATGAAACATTATGAAACGCTACGAGCGAATCCCTCGTATGCCATGGTTGTCCGCGAAGTATGAATCTACTAAAGAGATGCACGCTGGTTCAGGAATTAGAAAAAAGGTGTCTCCGAATAGGGTCAACTGAGCATTGCGCAAATTTTCAAATTTTACCACCTCCTGCCCCCGTATTAGCTCTGTGTGTGTTTTTACATATTTTTATGTCCATCATCGATGAATGGCATCGGGCCGCCATCGGCACAGAACGAG